TCCACGCGCTGGAACTCCACGCGTTGGAATTCCACGCGCTGGAACTCCACGCGCTGAAACTCCACACGCTGGAACTCCATGCGTTGGAACTCCACGTGCTGGAATTCCACGCGTTGGGATTCCACACGCTGAAACTCCACGCGCTGGAACTCCACGCGCGGTAATTTCACGCGCTGAAACTCCACGCGCTAGAACTCCACGCGCTGTAATTCCACGCGTTGGAACTCCACGCGCTGGAACTCCACGCGCTGTATTTCTACGCACCGTAATCCCACGCATTGTAATTTCTACGCACCGTAATCCCACGCGCCGTAATTTCTACGCACCGTAATCTCACGCATTGTAATTTCTACACACCGTAATTCCACGCGCCGTAATTTCTACGCACCATAATCCCACGCATTGTAATTTCTACGCACCGTAATCCCACGCGCCATAATTCCACGCATTGTAATTTCTACGTATTGAAGGTCCACGTGTCGTTATCCCACGCGCCATAATTCCCCACGTTGTAATTTCCACGCGCTATAATTCCCCGTCTATCAAACGCACCGAAATCTGACCTCACTCCACACCATCCTCACCCAAACCTTAATTCCGCAGTTTCCAACGCACCAAAAATCCAACTTCGTACAAGCTATCCACAGTATCGTCCAATAAATGAAAAAGGTTCCGTATCGAACGCAATACGACTTTGCAATGTTGTCGAAGATATTCTCCGGTTGAATATCTCCCGTGTCATTTTACGATTCTCTGGACACGTAACATCCGAGGACGTAAGGAGAAAAAAAGGGGAAAGGTGGATAAAACGGCTGGTCACGAGGGAAATAAAGCCGGCCGATCAATCGTTGGAGGAGAACGATTTATCTTTAGTACGCGCAACAATGCTGAAACAAATTCACCGAGTATTCTATTACTCTCCAGCGGTTCATTTTGTCTGTTCCGTGATTTCTCGACGGCGTTGTCACGATTTATTTCATGGTGTGTTCGATCGGACCGCAAGATCTTGTTTGCGTACTTCCGGAAACAAGAGGACTGTTACTTCTAATAGTTTCACCACTGATTTGTTAGTTTTACTATAATTTTAGTACTCGGTTGTGGAGCTTTATACAAAATTTATGTTTGAGGCTGTACATTGACCACTCCATATTTTTGAAGTTAAATATCAAATATTTAACAGAAATTGTACGAAAGATTTTATTTTTGAAAACATTTGCAGTGTACTTCAGAGAAGCAATAATTTTCAAATTGCAAATACGCGGTATCGAAACTGGAGTAAATATCGATATCAAAATCGGCATATGGAGATCAGGAATACGTCAAAGAGTTAACGACTTAACAGACCCATGAACAAAATGCCAAAGCAAACAATGCTAGTACAGCGAAGAGCGGAAGCGGAGTATCATTAATTTGAAACAATACATCCGCGGTTCAAACACATGAATAACGAACAATTGAAATTTCCCGGAACGCGAAATCATTAAAGTACAATGCGATATGGAATTAAATAAAAAAAAAATGACTGAATAATAATCGAAATACGGTAAACCAGAATAAATTGTTTTTTTTTTCCAACGAGCAAACACCGTGAAAACGAATCGGATCGATCATCGAGCACCGTACTTTCATTGAAAAGCCAGCTGCAATTTATTTCGCGGCGGTATCAAGCAACAGGATCACTACGAACAATTAATTCAATTGAAACCGTCGATGCTCACCGGATGACACGATTGATTGCTTTGCCACGACGATCGCGTGTAACGAATAAACGAGAGAGCTGACTTATTCCACCATATTTTCGACGAGATTTCATTTTCTCGCCCGAATTCAATCAGTACTTGCACCCGATCGTATTGTTTGCTGAGGTAATTAATCTTTACACTTAACTGACCGCGCGAGGAGGGGTGGTTTTGTTTAGAGCGAGTGGGTTTTCATATTTCTGGGTGGATGGTAATATTGGGGAATATTGGTGAGTTTTGGGGATGCGAGGGTTGTAATTCCATGCGGTATAATTCAACGCGTTGTAATTCCACGCGTTGTAATTTCCACGCGTTGGAACTCCACGCGTCGTAATTCCACGCGCTATAATTTCTACGCGCCGTAATTTCCATGCGTTTCCACGCGTAGCTAATCCACGCGCCATAATTCCACGCGCTGTAATTTCTACGTGCCGTAATTTCCACGCGTTGGAACTCCACGCGCCGTAATTCCACGCGCTGTAATTTCTACATGCCGTAATTTCCACGCGTTGGAACACCACGCGCCGTAATTTCACGCGTCGTAATTTCTACGCGCCGTAATTTCCACGCGTAGCTAATCCACGCGCCATAATTCCACGCGCTGTAATTTCTACGTGCCGTAATTTCCACGCGTTGGAACTCCACGCGCTGTATTTCCACGCGTCATAATTTCCATGCGCCATAATTCCACGCGCCGTAATATCCATGCGTCGTAATTTCTATGTGCCGTAA